ATGTTATTAATATATTTTCATTTTGAGTTGCTTTAGTAACTATAACAATAATTTTATTAATCTGACATATTATACAAATATTATTTATTTGTTTGGCATAACTTTTTTAAGCTATATGAAAGTTAATCAATTTAGTTTGGTTCTATTTAGTTGTAGTTCGAGTTTTATGTACGTGTTTAGTCTATCCAATATACGACTCACCGCATTCACAAGGCTGGTAGAAACACTCTTTCTCTTGTTTCAATAACTCCGGTCTTATTTTTGTTAGGACACTTCTTAAGGCGCGTCCACATTGCTCGTGATCCTGCTCGCGCTCTTGCTTCTGATTGTGCTTGCGTTGCTTGCGCTTCCTGTTTGTCGTGTTTCTCAAGATCTTTCGGCTCGTTGCTTGTGCTTGCGTTCGTGCTGTTCGGACATGGATGATACCGAAGTATTTTTAATAGCGGCTGCTAGTGCCATCATTATTATAAAACGAAGGAGACAAAGAGAAAAAAAGCGGTGTTAGATATCTAATAATTTTCTTTAATCTAATCTTTATTAAAAGTAGATCTAAGCACAGTGTAAGTAAACTTCTACGCGATTTACAAACAGACAGAATGTTTTTTAATAATTTGTATCGTATGTCCGCTACTGATTTTGATAGACTTATTAACTTAGTTAGCCCCCGTATTGAAAGAATAAATACAACTTTTAGGAAGTGTAATCCGGTTAAAGAAAGAGTTAAAGAAAGATTGGTCATAACATGAAGATTCCTTGCAACTGGAGAGTAACATACTAGCTTGGGTTATTTATTCAAAGTTTCCAAGCAAAGCATTTCAAAAATAGTACCAGGCGTATGCCAAAATATAAATAAAGTTTTCAAAGATCAGATTAAGATAAGTCGGCAATATAAATATAGAGTTATATTTTATTAAAGGTATAGGTATTGAATATTATTAATCCAAGAACAAAACACAACTATTTTTAATTCTGAATGAAAAAATCATGGTAGCATCATCATACTGCAGTAAATACCGAATCTTATGAATGAAACCAAACTAAAAACTAAACACACAACGCAAACAGCTCGGGCGCTTTGAACTGCCGTAAAGTGTGCTCACATGACTCCGAACCGTCTCTTTGATGTACCGCGACAGAGCCGAACAGTCAAAACAGGCATATTATGTGACCGCAAGCACGTGGAGCACCGCGAGAGTCGCAAGCGCCGCGAGCATCTCGCTCCGACTGTTTGCGATATCTTTCGTGTTTCACGTGTTCGTTCGGCCTGCTCGCAAGCAAGTGGACGCAGCAATGTGGACGCAGCTTTAGAATCGATCCCGATTTGAACACAGTTTTAATAATATTCTTTTTAGCTATTAGACTGATCTTTTCTGACGTTCCTTTTACATGTGGAATAGTCAAGAGAGAGAGAGAACATCCTCCTCAGGTAAACCAATGGGTCAGTTTTACAATTTGACATAATTTTGTCTACGGACTTCTCAGAATAATGTACGACTTAGCGAGTAATACTTCAGGCAAGGTTAACCCTCTGATAAAAACAATAACTAAAAAACAAAATAAAGCATGGTGGACAGATTCATTGGTGTACAGCACAAGATGGATGGACTTCCTTAAAAATATAAGTGTGTCCTTTTTCAGCCTTGTAATTTTAACACGATACTGTATAGTAAGATATTCTTTACAACTTTTATCTGACAATCGCCTATTACATACAATTACATGTTGTGAGATTAAGCAATTATACAATTTCATATTTTTCATAAATGCTAAAACTAAAGATTGCATAGACGTTATATAAGTCCTGGTTTCGACGGAGTCGACTTATATACATAGATACATAAAATATATATTTATATATTTATGATGGTTGTACTTGTAGTGTTTATATCTTGTTTCTTGTTCTATAAATTTCCGAAAATTTTAACTTTTTCGCACTATATTCGTATATATACATAAATATATTTTTCTTAAGGTAGGTTATAAGTGTGCCGACGAAGATGTGTTAAAGATGGCGAAATATTTTTATGACGTTTTCCGATCATGTCTAAACTCATGTATTATGTGTTATCAAGCTTATTTTGAATGGTTTGTCATTGCACAGTCTGAACGCATGAGGATGTATATTATTACTAAAACAAAATTATATACAAGGAGAAGCAAAGTATTTTATGGTAATAACGCAACAAAAATTCCCTAAAACGATTATATTAACTGCCATTATAACAACCTGTTTTAGTCCTGTTAGTTATGTCTACGTAGAATACACGTAGGCATGGTTATCACTTTATATTGCAGAATATGGCAACACCTACTTAATACAATTATTATTGGTTGGATATTAAATATATATTCCGTGACTATAATACTTTATTCAGTAAAAATAAAAAAATTAGGTAAATGTAAGGTATTTAGCTTGACACGGAGCAAGTGTACTTGGACAAAGTATACTTGGATGCTGCCATATAACTGTACTTATAATAATTCTGCGCGCGTCTCACTTGTACGCTGCGCTGCTTGTATCCTATTAACTGTTTTATCCAAGTTAATTTGGAATGCTTTGTAAATTCCAAGTAAGTAGGCTGGCTGCCAACTTACATTTTAAAACCTTCTTTATTGCACTTATGAAATGTTCAATAGGTTTGTGTTGTTCCAGGATCTCGAGGACCTTACTTTGCGCATGCGCATTAAAAGCCTAGATCATAATACTTACGTAGATAAATCAACGCCATAAGTTTAGCATTAAAAAATATATCTCCAACATCACGACATGCCATTTTCAAACCTTCTTTATTGCACTTATGAAACGTTCAATAGGTTGTGATAGGTTGTCTCTCTCGAGGGCCTTACTTTGCGCATGCGCATTAAAAATTGCACGTATTTCCAAAACAATCACAATTTCATAGGGTTTATAAAGTACAAATTATACATTGTTATGGAAACCAACTTTTCATTATCATAATCTTGTCATAATCATATGTTGTTAACTCACTGTTAATCTTACTTCCATTGTGTAACGTCGCTTGTTTTTTGCGTTTTTTATTTTAAAAATTGTATTAATTACTCTTTTATCGACCGCTTTTATATAGCCAAGGGTGCAAGTGTCTTCAGTGAGAAGTTAATTTTAAGTTTGTGCCATTATATTTCTATTTTTTTTCGTTGGACTTTCTAAATACTCGTAAAAATGATTAGAAAGTGTTTAGTGTGTGGAATTTCTAATATAAAGGTCCCCGAATCATCTTTTTATAAGCAAGTAAAGTATTCAGTTGTTTTTTTTATTTATATTAAGCCACATGCATACTTTCTGGTTAGATTTCCTAAGAATATTGATATTCGTAAGGAGTGGCTAAATGTAATTTTTATATAATTTAATTTTTGTGTTATTATATAATTAAATTTTTAAAATTAATGTTTAAATTTGGAACGCGGACGATAGGTCCTCGACAAGGATAGATAGAGTAGAAGCACCGCGTGTACAACAAAATCTTATTTTTCTTATTTCTTTATTAAAAAAAGATAAATGGAAATCGTTGATATGTTTGCGACAGTTTCCATAGTGATTTACTTATCTACGTATGTATGTATATATGATATAGGGTTGTCAATTTGGAATTATCCCCGACTGCTCTGTATATTTTTAGCTTTGTGTCATTCAATTTGATCATTACCTCACTATGTAACTATAATTTATTTTGCGTCTATTCGTAAGAAACATCAAAATTTGATTTTTTGATTTTGATGATGTCGACTGGTTATTAGTTTTCCTAGATATATGGCCAAAGTATATTATATAAGTTTATAGATGTTGAAAGTCTTCAATATTAAGTTGTTCAAGAATTGAAATCTTTGTAAGATATGTACGATATTTGCAGCATCCATCTATAACAGCATATTTCAAAAGCCTCGACTTTTCGTCGCATTGCCAACTTCAACGTCGAGGTATCCGAGGCATAAGTGGCAATGGGGAAAATTAGGGCTCTTAGTAGTCTTGGTTTGTTGTTAAATGAAACGGCTGAATCTTAGTCTCTATACATAGTCTCCTTTTGATTTCTGCATCGCATCCTCCGTTGTTTGGGATCAAAGAGCCGATGTCTGTATATGAAATGATCTACTTACATTTCGAAACCTCCCATTTCTGTAGTTTTCGATCGATAATCATTAGTGTTGTATTCTTTTTATTTCATTTTAACCCACATATCTCTTGTTGGCGCCTCCAATTTATGCACGATGTATTTTAATTCATTTGCGGAGAATGCGACTAAAAGTGCTATCATCTGCTTACCTTAAATTCATCTGTCCACCAGCTATAGTGATACCTAAACTTCCCTCATTATAAATTCGCCACATATATTGAAGAATAAGGGTGATAAAATGCATCCCTGACGCATTACATATGGAATAATTTAGTTTAATATTAAAAAGTAATCAACTGGATATCTTAAAAACACAGCTCGCTGGCCTGTGCTTTACAATGTTTAAAAAGTCATCTATTTGTATTTAAGCGTTGCCATGTTCTGTCATATAGATAAACTAAGTAGGTTCTACTATGTTTTTTAATTTCAGGTATTCAAGTTTGTGCTTCTATATCTGTACCAATATAAATTATATGCACTTCAAAATATGAAAATGCGTGGTTGTAATACTGATGTGACTTTCGATGCTTAAATTTAAAATAAAGCAAAAACAGAAAACTATGGGATATAGAGGCACAATAAGTTATTTAATTAATATGTTAATTACTAATATTTTAAGAGTCGGTCTAAGAAATATTTATTTCTGTGAAAGTTCATATTGTCTCCCATGGGTGTATTTTTGTGTTTTGGGAGCAGCAGATCAAAACTAAGTATATTTTCATATTTTCAAACGAAATTAAAAAAAACTCAAGTTTTCAAAAATATATTTGAAAAAACTGGAATATGTATGAAAATATGAAAGGTTCCTTAGGTACATATCGCTGCTCTGGTAGATTTTTTACGACTTTTTTGTAATTTTTATTTTTTCAGTTGAGAAAACACCCAATGAGAATGTATACAGGGTCATTAGGAGATCGCTTCCACGGGATTAATAACTTAGCTTATTTCTAATTATACACTATATTTTTCTAAATAAAAAAAAATCTTAAGAACAGAGTTAAGGCAGATAATATATTTATTAGGAGTAATAAAATAGTGATAAATATACTGCAAAAATGATTCATTTATCTAAACAGGCAAAGAAAATATTACAACAAATCAAAAGGTAGTGTACAAAGTAAATTAACACGTTTTGTTTATTTGTTAGTTGACATAAATATATATTTATAAATAAAATGACTACAAAATTACAACCCATTTTTCTAGAAGTGTGTTTACATTAAAATGTATCAAAAAGACGAAAATCTCGTAGATGGTGGATCAGACAGTGGATATTGCTCAGAAGTAAATGGGTGCAAGTGAAACTATATTGACAGCATTGGTTTTGGAATAAAAAATTTTGTCCAAAAAATAAAAAAAAATTGGGGTGGACCATCCTTATCATTTAGGGGTATAAAAAATAGATAACAACTTATTCTCAGACCTACTGAATACAGGGTGTCATTGAAGTGGTGTAAAAAATGATAGTACTCCAAAAAATAGTATTAAAAAGTTCCTATAAGTATAGGGCGGAAAACGCATATTAAGGGAGTTAGGGGCAGGGTTCGGAAGTAGTTAATTAAGACGTAATTTACCTGATTAACTACGTGTAGTTTTTCTTCAAAAACTACGTCTTTTCCCGTTCATTAACTACATGAAAACTACGTTAATAAACTATGTATTGATATTATGAATAATTTTTCTTTGTATGAGGTGTAATAGAGATAATATGATGTAAATATTATATTTAAAGCCATATTGCTTCTGTTTTCTTAAATACATTATGTGTTTTTAAAGCTTCAACTTATTAAAACCTCACCTCAAACCTTTGATATTTGAAAGTTACATACATAAGTTACATAAACTACACCCTCTACATAAACTACATTAACTACATGTAATGTAGTTTATGTAGTTTTCCGAACCCTGGTTAGGGGCACTGAAAGGGTGAATTTAAAAAACGGTTCTTTTACGAGATAAGATTTCGAAAAAAAATCCTCTGCCATAAATTTTGACCCTAAATCAAATGGTGATACTGAAAAATTATTTGGAAAAGCGGAAAGGGTAGTTTTTGCAAGGATAGGGTTTTTTTCGTGAATAACTTTTTTGAGGATATTTTTTGCAACGTGGGTTCATTTTTTGAAAACTACATACTTTTTCCTACAAAAAAGATACTTTTGATTGAAGACAAAGAGTTTGCTCTGATGTGTTGCTAACTGGTTAATAATAAATTATGAAATTATGAATAATAAACTTATGAAAGTTATGGCGGTTCAAAAGTAACCAAGTAGTTATCAAATAATTAAATGAAAAATCAAAATTTCATGATTTTTAAAACATCTTATTGCTTTAAAAAACTCTAAGTATACACGAGAAGTATACTCTCTAGTATACACGAGACCTACTGTGACACAAGAATTTGATATATTAGATTTAAATTGATTATTTTCATATTTAACGCATCATTTTGGATATAAAAGCACCACTAAAAGGAAAAGAAAATATATAAATTTATTTTACTTCTGATGTATTTATGTATCAGTCTTAACTCTGTTAACTATTATTAGGTTAGTTTAAAGGAGAATATTTTCCAATTTTTAAAGCATGCCAGAATTATTTGTGTTGTGGATTACGGTGTAGCGGCTTTGGTGAGCTCAGGTTAACAGAACACCTTTTTACAATTAATCCTTCATAGCTTAAAATAAAATAATTCTTACTTTTGATGGTAATCCACTGATAATTAACCTACATGTCATGTATATGTTCCTTCCCCTTTTAAAAGTGTAAACTTATAAATGAAAGCACCTTATACTCCGAAGGATATATCAAAAAGGCCTTAAAGTGTCATAATCGTAATGGTAAGATTATTGATGGATTGCAAAAATAAAGAATATTCAGAAAAACATATAAATTGTTCCAGGATATCACTAAATTATTAAAAATTGTATTCACACTGATTATGGTTTTTACTAATAAAATAATGCTGTTTATAATTTTTTTCAATACAATTTTTTTACTTGTTTGAAATTAAAGTTACAAAATGTATTAAAATTTAATTTTTACTTTGTCACTATTTCAGCATCAGATATAAAATACCAAATGCGTAAAAAATCTATAATGCCATGGCATGTTGTAAGGCAAAACGCCATGACACTGAAACTTATAATGAAGTAAGAAATAAAATATAGTGTTGGGACCATGGACACATTAGTTTACGATAATGCCGATTGTGGCACAAATAAGTGTGCCAATAGAGTGGGTAAAACTAAATAAAACCATAAAAAGGGATAGTAAATATACTACTAAGAGAATTCAACACGGAACTTCATAATGCAGAGATGTTGCTTATTTCAGATACAAGTATTTGAAATACAGATATAAGATAGAAAATACGTATTTTCATCTTACATTTGGAGTATTTTTTAATCTCATCTTGTATCTTGTATTTAGATATTTTTTTAGTATTTTAGTATTTTTTAAATACTTAGTTTGCTAAAATTCTTTTACTACCTATTATTGCCTATGTATGCATATTTTTTACTTGACATTCAGTCATAATATGAACCAAATAATATAATATCCGTATTAGGTCTCATGAAATATCCGTAGATGAATAAAAAAATCCGTATGTATTATTTAACATTAAATCTAAAATAGAACAAAATAAACGTTTTTATTCTTCTCTATCAAAAAGCAAAAAGCACCTAGTTCTTCCTTTAAAATGAAATGGGTGCCAAAGTCATTTAAAGAACATGTCAAAGATCTTGTGCTGACTGAAACAAGTAAAATTAATCGGTATGAAAAACAAAAATTGGGCATTTTAAACAAATAATAGTTTATACAAAAAGAAAGGCAAAAGATCAATCTAATTAAATGTTTTTGGAAGATTCTGATGTCTCTGTTGCAAGTAGCGACAACATGAGATCTACTGGCTGCGCTGGTTAGAAACACTGCAATTTTAAGTAATGAAGACTAAAGCTAAATAACTTTAAAAATAAAAATAAATGTTTTCTTTCAAAAAGTTATCTATGTTATTTATTATATATAAGTATATATTATACAGACCGGACCACCGTAGTAGTAACATAGGTAGAACCGGACGAATTAGCGTATACAGGTCCGCCGAATAAAAAGTAGGCGAAAAATGCGATAAAATAAAAATAGGTAGATATATGATGAGAATGTTTCATAATTGTATTTATTCGTGTTTTAATAGCCAAAACGAATACATAGATTCTCGCGACAGTTCTCGTATAAAATTTATTTTTTAAGTAAAATAATGGATGTTTACGAAGTTCGTGAGAAAATTCAAATTGTAAAATGAACTATTTTGTGACCCGCTAGATCACCAGATCTTTCTCCCAATGATTTATTTTTGTGGGGTTATGTAAAACCCAAAGTGTATGGTCATAATAGGGCTAATAATCTGGATGAGCTTCAAGTAAAAATACGAGAGGCTTTCCAAACTATTAGCCCTAATATGTTAGCCAATGTCAGACGGGGATTTTACGACCGCCTAGGCTTCTGTCTAGCACAAGAAGGTGGTCTTTTTCAACACTTGTTATAACTTTTTTTATTTAGAGTAATATTTTAGTTTTTTTGGGTTCAGAGAATTTATATATTTTTAGTTTTGGCTTGTAAACACACTCAAATAATAAAGATTTAAGTATTTTTATTTTAAATGTTACCGTAATATAAGGTAAACACTCGGCACTCCTCGCGTCGTATTCCTAGTCTGTCACGACCGACCCGGCCAATCACAACTGCAACTGCGTACTGCCTGACTAACCGACTAGCCGGCAATGAATCTCGAGTACGAACGCAAATTGGGTAAACGTAAATTCGTCCGGCAACTTGCTATGTTACTAGTAGCCTGGTCTTCTCTGTATAATATATTTTATATCTAGTATTTCAAATACCTTTTTCAAAAGTATTTTGTAACTGATATTTCAAATGCTTTGTTTAGAAGTATTTTGTAACTAGTATTTTTCCGATACTGTTGTATGAAGTATCTGTACGTCTCTGTTTATATGTACAGGGTGTCCCATCTTCGTGGGTTTATGGGGTTTCTCGTTTTATGTGTAGAGATACAAAGGTATTACTGGTTTTACATCACTTTGCTACTTTGCTACTTTTTTTTATAAAACTAAAGATGCTACGCACAGATAAACACCCTAGCCCCCTTGGTTTCTAAAATACAGGGCAAATTTTAAAATGTTGCATTTTCCGACATAATATATAAGTGTATTATCATGTTATTTAATTTAATTTATCTATTGATACTATTGATAATTGCATTGTAAATAAAGTTGTGCAACTTTTAGATAACATGGCAGTCAATCAGAGTTATTGATATTTTTAATGCCCTTATTAATTTTGAAGTCGAATGCATTATTCGATTGTTTTTATTACCTATTTTAAACCGGCCAGTTATGAAGATATGTATAGAGTATGTTAACCCATAAGAAGGCAAATAACATAAAATATCATATACAGGGTATCCCAACTAAAAAACATAAGTTTGTGTCATATTTCAAGAACGTCAGCTCGCAGAAAAAATCTAGATAGGCCACTGAATTCTAAATGAAAAACTATATGGGACTCAGTTTTCACCTTTTCGATAAGTTATAGGATGAACGAGATACAAAGAGGGTCAAAAAATGCAACATTTCGCCCTGTATTTCAGAAATTAAGAGGGTTAGGACCAATTTGTTTGCATTTTTAGTTTTATACAAAGGAGCACAGTAATGTGAAAACCGCATATTTTTTACTCATAAACGAGAAACCCCACAAAACACACGAAAATGGGACACCCTGTACATTGCATTTAAAACTATATCTCAATCAAAAATTAATACAAACAGATTAAATTAACAGAATTCGATTTATTTTTGGAACTGATTATTGTTTGATGGTCTAGGTTCTAGGAAACTGAGAAATATTATAAAAATGTATTACAAAACGGGAAAAACATGATAACCGCCATTTTACTATTTTTACAGGAGAGCACTGGACGGCTAGTGGTTATCAGATTCTTTCCGTGTATTCTACAGGGTTGTTCACCACATACGACACGGAGTATTGTAGCTAAATGGTTAGATTTTTACAAATTGTAAGTTTTGGGTTCGTTGAAGGACTATTAGAGCTACCATTTAAAAATATTTTTACAAGATACAGAGTGCCCCAAATAAATAAAAAATATTAAAGTTGTATTTTTTTAAATGGAACACCCTGTATATTATTACATTGTTAGTTTCTACGATTAAAATAAACGTAATTTTAATTACGTTTTTGAAATATTTTCAATTTTGTGAAATGGCAGTCAAAATTTTAAGGCGTCATTTCTCCAAGGGTATCAAAGTTTTTAATAACTAATACCATTTAAATTAAACAAGTTATTGCCGTTTAAAGCCAGTAATTATTTAAAATAAAATTTGAAACAGTCTGTATAAGGTAGTATAATTTTTAATATTGCAACACAATAACTAATCAATAAATAAACTTCAGTAAATATTTAGTATTAAAAACATTGATACCCTTGGA